GTGTTCTAGTAATAGATTTTAAAACCAAGAGGGACTAGCATGATCATTTAGTCTGACCTCCTGCAAAGCAGAAGCCCTGGAAGTTTTACTGCTTCAGGTTCTGCATTAATTAGGCAATAATGCAGTATCACCACCATGGAAATGGTTTGCTTAATGGAGAATTTTATCTGTGCGCTGTACATTGTATTTGCTGTACCTAAACATTTCTTGGGTAAGTACTGCTTGTACACTTGTCACAAAAATGGAAGGGGCCACATCAATGACCTCATAAGCACTATATTGCCAACTGTCCATCTAAAATTTCCCTTAGTAATTTTAATAAGAGAAATGAATGATCACTTAGCAGTTAAAACAAAATAATGTATGCAGCGCTGCTAGTAGAGATGACTGTGTATCTTTTTTTTTAGGCCTATACTTAAAATTTATCATTAAGTCACCTATGGTCATTTATGGACAACAACAAAAAAAAATGCACAAAGCAAAACTTTTCATATGTACACATGAAAGCCACAGATTCCTCGAGGATCAGGTTCACTGTCAAAAACCAGTCAGTCATTCTGTTGGCTAGTTCATCTAGAATACTACAGGAACTAGCACTAAGCACTTCAATAAGCAAGGCCAAATTCCCCCATTTAACTGCACTTACATGACTAACAGACTCCAAGAAATTTATTAGGAACGATCATGGCTGTTGAATGTACCACAGCCTGATTTTTTTGAGATGAGACTGTTGCACACAAGTAAACAGCAAACCAGAACTGAATGGCTGTGTCTACACATGCAATTAACTCAAAGTAGGCTTACTGCACAGTAAAAATACTGCGCAGTAAGCCTCCTGGGGAGCATGTCTACATGTGCTCCCTCTTGGGAGCAGATCTGCTTGCAATGGGAGCAACCCAGAGAGCTGCTCCCACCATGCTCAGGGCCAGGAGCTGCTTGCTGCTGGGGCAGGGGGAGATTGTCCCGGGCAGGCTCCAAGCTTAAAGCCCACTCTGGCAGCAGGCACCTCCTGGGGCACGGAGCAATCTCTCGCCCCTGCTGCCCAGCTGGCCTGGAGCAAATTTGCTCCTGGTCAGCCATCTACTCATGCGTTAATGGGCAGTAATTACTCCACAGCTAATTTGCTACCTGCATATGCAGGCAGAATATTAACTGCAGAATAGACCAGTTTACTGTTCCGTAAGCATCTGCCCATGTAGATGGTGACACTTATTGCACAGTAAATTGGTCTACCGTGCAGTAAAATATCTCATGTAAATATGCCCAATGATTCCAAGATCCTGTTGCTTCAGTGCTGCTACCATAACATTGATGCATTTACCTTTTGAAGGAAGGAGTGATCTGCTTTACTGAGCTTAGGCATTTATGTGAACTAGCTGTATTAGCATATTAAGGCTTGCCCAAGACCAGGCACTATTTGCATTTGTATTGGCCAGAAATGCACCAAGTTCCAACGGGAAGAGGCGTTAGCCCACACACACCTATTGATTTATCCAACCAATCAAGCCCAGCTGATTAGATTTCCTTATTCTCTATTCACCAGCTGTTATTTTTCTACCTAATACTCAGCCTCTAAAAATATTTTGGCCTTTAACTCTTCATTCACACACAAAGTCTACAGCAGCAATTCCAACCCCAGGTCGTGACCCAAATGAGGGCCACAGGAGCAATGCTGACAGCGCCACACATAAAAGACAAGGCGCACCCCATGCCAGGAGCTCTGCTGCCCCTGCCCTCGCCGCTGGGCCACCACCACCACTGCACTCCACTCCCAGCAGTGGGTCGTGGAAAAAAAAGGTTGGGAACCACTGGTCTAGAGACTCTGTCTAGTTCTTCAGCACAAGTTTGAGTCTCGGGGAGGGAGGTGACATGGTCAGTTTCAGCTGAGATGACTCTTCTGCCTTAGAAATAGTTAAGGGAGACACAGGTGTGATCTGACAACGCAGCTAGAGTAGCAGGCCCTGTCTTCAGAGTGCCGGCAATCTGAAATGCCTCTAGTCCTGCTGGAGAGAAACAGTTCAGTAACAGGACGCTCAAGCTACATCTTAAAAAATAAATAAATAAAAGAACCTCTAGGGTTTTGGACCACCAGTGACCATCAGGTCCAGATTGATCAGGGAGCAGAACAGAAAAAGGCAATCTATCCCTAGCTTTGTTACTGGCCTGAATGAGAGTCAAGGGCTCACCTCACCTCCGGCAGGCCTGGATGAGCTCCATCCGAGGGTACTGAAGGCACTGGCTGATGTCACTG